ATTCCTGAGGTTCTGTACTTAAAACAACAACATGCATACTTAATACTAAGAAGATACTAAGACATTTCCTGTTCAAAATGTCAGATGCAGGAGTTGTGTAATGTGAAAGATGGGAAAGGGGGTGGCGATAACATTGTCCTCAATAGATTATGTCATGTCTGTTGTATGGCCTGAACACAGTGATTTGAGTGGGTATACACATGAAGATATTAAATCCCCAATGTGCCATCATTCTGTTGTGATTCTCCTTGTACCTCATTGTGAAAAAGCAAAGACTATAGAGAGCAAATATCAGACTCTGAATGGAAGCACCTGAGATCCAATAGGAATGATAAAACAAGTAAGGAATGCTGATTGGTAAGTGGGGAAAAGTGAAGTTTTAAACACAGTTTTAAAAAAGGAACATTGGAGTATCTTGGTGGATCACTGAGTGGAAACACTCCACACTACGACCATTTGTTGAGAATCTGTTGGAATAAGGAGCCATGGTGGCACAGAGGTTAGGATGCAGTATTGCACACTAACTCATTGCTCACTGCCAGAGTTCAATTCTTAGAATAGAATACAGCTGGAAGGGAACTTGTAGGTCTTCTAGTCCAGCTTCCTGCTCAAGCAGGAGGACCTATACCATCTCAGACATGGCTCAAGGTTGACTCAGCCTTCCATCCTCTGTAAAATAAGGTTCCATATTGTTGGGGGCAATATGCTGACCCTGTACATCTCTTAGGGCTATAAAGCACTATATAGACGTTGCAGTTTTTCTCTTAATGGGAGGCTAAAATATAAGAAGCAATGTGCAGATATCTGGTTGAGAGTCAAAAGAATAGAAGCTGATTCTTTGGGGAAGCCTAATTCTGGAGATTTATCTGATTACAATGCTTTGACATTATTTTATAACAGGATAGTGAATGTCTAGCAAAAAACATGGAATTCTCCTGTAGGATGCAAAAACTGACAACCAGTTATAATACCAGTATGTACTTTTCTGCTACATGGGCATGAACAAATATGTTAATCTTGGTATATTGTGCAAACTACACAATATTTAAAACTGAATGATTCTTTGTACATGTTGTGATATCGGCAAAATCTGTTTTGGTATTCATTTTTCATTTGAGTTGTGAAGTTCTGGAAAAGCAGCCTCTTCCTAGGTTTCAAAGAGGGAAGATAGAACAGTAGGAAAATGGAAAGAAAAAGAGGAGAGAGAAAGTGGGTGATAAGATGGTTAGAATGCAGTAATTGCAGGCTAATTCTGTCCACAGCTAGGAGTTTGATCCTAACTGGATTAAAGTTGACGCAGCTTTCCATCTTTCTAAGGTCAATAAAATGGAGGAGCAGATTGTTGGGACAATATGCTGACTCTGTAAACTGCCCAGAGAGGACTGTAAAGCACTATAGGGTGGTATATAAATCTAAGTGCTATTGCTATTAACTCCATCCACTTTTAGATTTGGTGTTTTCTAGCTTTGGACTAACTGACATGCTATGCATTCCACAGAACTTACTATCTGCATAATTAAGTCCCACTACATTCAGTAGAATTCCTTCTTTGGTAAGTGTGCACAAGACCTTTAAAACTACATTTATATTTGCTTTTTTAAAATAAATCTGTTAAAATCAACTAGCTTGAGTGAACTTTACTTGATTTTCATGACTTCTGGAAAAAATCTTGATATTTCAGGGTTCTTCAGTGAAGATTTCAAATATTTGAAATGTGATGCCAGCATAGCAATCATTCTGAGTATACGATTGAATAAGACATAGATTCAGAAGTTAATTTTTCTTCTCATTTCACCAAGTTATATGTGTTATGATTTAGTAAGTTAAGAAATTTATATGCCTACAAAGTTGCTTTCGTATTCCATAATGATATGAAAGATATTGTAGGCAAAACATCTTGCCTGCACATGCCGCAAGAGACTAAATAATTTTGAGATGGGTTTATCATGACTGCACAGCATACTTTTATATTGACTTTGGATGTTTAAAGCCTCAATAATATCAGACATTAAATGTACAAAACTACTTTTCTTAGTGTTACCCTACTTTAAGGTACTCTTCTATTGCATGTATTTTAGATTACCCATCTAGTCAGCTATTGAGCATTTTCTCCATGATTTTTGGTTGTGCCATCTTTTATAACAGAGGGCAGCACTTGTTCTGTTCATGGCATGCCAGAATCTGCACACCTAAAAACAAGGCAAAATTAAAATCTTTAAAAAATAGGGAGAGTCAAAGTGAAACTATAACTGAATCTCTAATTTTAATTTAATTACTGTTAAATTAATATGATTGCTCCTCTGTATTTAACATTTTTTTTGCCTGTTGTTACATTAATTATTACACTATAGCAGTGTTTCTCAACCTTGACAATTTTAAGGCACGTGGACTTCAACTCCCAGAATTCCACAGCCAGCATTGCTGGCTATGGAATTCTGGGAGTTGAAGTCCACGTGCCTTAAAATTGTCAAGGTTGAGAAACACTGCACTATAGAGACTGTTTGGGGTTACTACTAGGACCAAAGGGCACAAATTGTACCACACAGATATAATTTTGTAAATTACAGTGTATTTATTTTAAATGTGAAGAATCCAAAGTTATTGTGTCTGGTACATAATTTTCAGTTCTATGTATTTTTCTCCCTGTAAGTTACAAAAATATTCTCAAATCCAACTTTTAGCAGTAATTCCTGATTAATTAGATAACTTCTACAGTGAATTCCTCTTTGCTGAAGTTTGGTTATTTTGCACCAAGATTCTCCAGGGAATCCACAATGGAAAATGAGACACATTACTATATATGCTTATTTGCTTTTTGTGTATTTTCTCTTTTTCTTTCTCTTTTCTTTCTTATTGTTTTATCTGCTGGCTAAAGGGGATAATAAGATTGAATGGAATCATTTTGAAATAATTTGCCCTTTTTTATGAATTGTTTTAGTAATTTCAGTTTATCTAAAACAGCAGCCAAGCCTTATCAAGCAACATTTTTTCTACTGCTCAATATGAGCCATATCCAAGGTCACCCTCCTTGTAGAAAAAAAAGAAGGCAAGACAGAACAACTCAAGAATGGCAGAACTTCATGATAATATTATCATTATCTGATTGTTCTCCCATGTTCCCCTCTCTCTTTTTTTTAATGTTCCAAATTCCCACGGTCAGAATTTTCATCTTGCCTTGATTCAAGGTTAGTAACAGAAATACTAAGAAGATCTTTTTCATTCAGCAAAGCAAGTTAATGATTAAGCTTGCCTTTATGGTGTTCACAGTTTTTTCAGGGTGTAGAAAAGATAATACTTAAATAGGACATGGGTATCATTTTTTAATCTTGGGGGTTCTGATATGAGAAATAATTAGGATGAGATATTTCATGGATAATACCGCCAGGACCTTGCAAATGTGTTATTTTCCTCTTTTATGTCATTTGGTTATCTGTGCTAATAACAGTGAAAGCTTTTCTCCCAAACAGCTAAGTTGTATTTCTTGCCAATAGGGAAGACCATCTGGACTCTTATTGGGTGAAAGTCCAACTTGGGCCACCTCACAGCTTCCTGCTATAGTGCAAAACACTGGCTTGCTATGGAACCCAAATTCAGGTGTTCTTGGTAGATCTACACTAGCCTGCTGCATAGGAAAAGGGGTCTAAAGAATAGAAACATAAAATGCTAACAAGGATTTTTGGCTTTCCCCTACTTGAAGATAAGAAGGGGACAAAATGCTGGTTAGCTGAGGGCATCCTTATAATCCCAGTTTCTGCTGGGGTTGGAAACACCCCCAGGCAGTATAATCTGGGCTTTGTATTGCATCTGAAAAGATTTGTGGTAGAAAAATGTCATAATCTGGGAGTGCCTTAAATGTAGCTTGTCTTTGCAGCAGAACTTGCATAGAAAACTATAAACTTCAGATTGGCAATGTTGCTTTTTCTCCAACTACTATCTCTCTTTTTTGCTGAATGCAATCTCAATTTCTGACTCAAGTCTTCAAAAGCCTTTCCCTTCATTTTTTTCTCAGAGAACGCTTGAGGTAGCAGTCAGATGGGTGAAAACAGGCTGAGAAAAAAATATCTTGTGTTCTCTGTCTAAGGGCCAGTGTTTCTCAACCTTGATAATTTTAAGGCATGTGGACTTCAACTCCCAGAATTCCACAGCCAGCATTGCTGGCTGTGGAATTCTGGGAGTTGAAGTCCACATGCCTTAAAATTGTCAAGGTTGAGAAACACTGGAAGCATTGTAAGGCCAAAGTAGACAAGATTGGATCCTGTCCCGTTCACTTAATAAATCAATACAATATTACAGGTCATTCTCGACTTGCGCCCTCAACTGAACCCAGCATTTTTGTTGCTAAGCAAGACATTTGTAAAGTAAATTTTGCCTCATTTTACAGCCTTTCTTGTCACAGTTGTTAAGTGAATCACTGCAGTCTTTAAATTAACACCATGGCTGTTAAGTGAGTCTGGGCTCCTCCATTGACTTTGCTTGTCCAAAGGTTGCAAAAGATGATCACATGACCCCGGGATACTGCAACCGTCATAAATATGAGTCAGTTACCAAGTGTCTGAATTTTGATCATGTGACCAAGGGGTTGCTGCAACAGTTGTAAGCGTGAAAAACAGTCATAAATCACTGTTTTCATTCCCATTGTAATTTTGAATGGGCACTAAACGAACTGTTGCAAGTCAAGGACTTACCTGTATTTATTAAATTCATACCCATCTTGCAGTTCAAGGCAAATATATAATATAAACGTATATAATACTGAAGGTAGCATTTGACCAACGATGCTAGCAGATGACTGGGGTTCTTGTTCTCTGTGACTATTTAATACAGTTTTTTAAAACTCTCCTTGTTGATGTTGATCATTGCAGCTTGTGGCAAGGAAATGAAATCCATATGTGATATATGAATACAGAAGTATTTCCTGTTATCTAGCCCACGTTGGCCACTGCTCTTCACTGAATGAGTGTCTGTTATGAATGTAACAAAAAAAAACTACCTCTTTTCAGTTTCTCCATAGAGTACAACATTTTAAGCACGTTCCAGAATTCAGTGGAGCTTACTGCAAGGTAAATGGATATGGGATTACAGACTTCAAGTGTAAATGTGCCCACACTCTCTGGGAATCATTCCCATTGAATTTGGTGAGGCTCCCTCTTCTAGAGTGCATGTGTCTATATCGTTCTGATATGAGGCAAGAACTGCAAATGATCTGCATTAATTGAAATGCATTAATTTAATGAACTATTTGACTGATAAGGAAACAGCATCGGAGAAGAAAGTCTTCTGTTTGGATTTCAGCCAAACTTATGCATCACTTGCCACTAAATCTTTGGGCTAACCTACAGGAAATGGGAAAAATGCAGACAACAAATTTGAATAATTCAACTTTGACGTTTGACCAAAAATTCTGGTAAAAGAAGACCAGATCAATCAAAATGCTGATTGCATCTACCACGTCTGGTAAGTTAGACTTGTGGCTTACCAAGGAAGCTGTCAAATAGCAGGAATGCAGACAGTGTTAAATTTAAACTAATATCAGACTGTAACTGCATGCTGTTGCTTTATGACCTGTGGATTTGGAGTGTGGCTTGGGGGGGGGGGATTTTTTATTTACAAAACAGCATTTTTGACTTTTTTTTATTTACAAAAAAGGCATGCAGAATGATTATGCAGCAGGAATGAAATATACACACACACACTTCCTAACAATCCAAAGAATGAAAAAAATCAGAAAAGATGGATGGAGGGAAGAAAAACAGTTGAATCTCAGGGAAAATGGTCCAAATGAAAATTGGTGGTAGATCAGCTTTAACATAGAAATAAAGGAATTTTTTTGGATATTGAAAAAACCTATTTGGGGAGGAGTGAAAAGTGTGTGTAGAAATAAAACTTCCTGTCCTTATTTTGTACTTGAATTTCCGTCCCTTCCAAATTAGTATGGAAAACTGGGAAAAAATGGAAAGTTAATTGTGAAGAGTTTCCTCTTAATCGGGGCTCCTTGTAGCACTTTAGTTCTGATTGGGTACTGTAACATCAGGAACTGGAAACTGACAACATACCCTAGTGAAGGGGAAAAAATTGTATATATTGCACAAGGTCATAGCACTTTGCTTTAAATAGTAAAACTACCTGAACTAAAATGCCAGCCCAATAAGTACAGTAATCCGATAGAATAAACTTACACAGATTATGACAGTGGATAATAGATCCTATCCTTTGGTAACAGAGGAGAGACTCCGAAGGCTATCGGTTGGAGGCTTTCCAGTGAACGTGTCAGAGCAAGTCATGCAGCCTCCCTTGCTGAAGCCCAGACTTGAAAGCAACTTGCCTCAAACACAAGACCCAGAGAAGGATCTGCGGTGCATTGCCAGAACACTTTCATTTCTGCAAGAATCCGGCTGGTATTGGGGTTTTATGACACCCTATGAAGCCAAGCAGCTGCTCCAGAAGATGCCAGAGGGGACTTTTCTGGTGCGGGACAGTACTCATCCCAGCTATCTGTTCACACTATCTGTAAAGACCATTCGAGATCCTGCCAATATACGCATTGAATATGTTGATGGCAAGTTCCGATTAGATACCAATTCTTTCTCCAAACCTTGGGTTCTGGTCTTTCCAGATGTGGTTAGTCTGATCCAGCATTATGTTCTTTCTTGTACTACGGAGAGCAAGGGGAACGCTCTTTACCTGTTTCCTGTGTTTTTGTCTTCTCCACCCAAGGAGATGAGAGCACCAGCAGTATATCTGAAGGTCATCCAGCCACTGAGCCACAAGGACGTTCCCCCCAGCCTGCAGCACCTCTGCCGATTACAAATTAATCGATGCACTGGAAAAACAAACCAACTTCCTCTACCAAAGAGAATGAAGGACTATTTAAAGCAGTACCCTTTTCAGCTTTAAAGACACTTGTCAGTCTGCCTGAGTCAAGCAACAGAAGTAACACTGAAAACATTGGATTTAATTCTGGCCACAGAATGGCTTTGATCCACTGATGGAGTTGTGTTCTTATGTGGGCACAGTAAATAAATTGCCAACAAAAGAGATTGTTTTTCCCATCATCTTCTCCCTTATTTTTCCCAGTTACATAATTTCATTCTTTTGCCATGGAGGAAGCAGTATGCTCAAGCACACAACTTCAAAGCCAAAAGCTCAAAGCATTTCTCTTTTTTCTCTGATTAGCTTTGCAGAACTACTTTCGGCACATGCAGACTATTGAATTGTGGAATCACAATTGCATCAGGAACATTGAAGCCTCAGAACTGTATTATTTATTTCCATGGTATTTATTCTCTCCCCCCCCACTTTTGATTACATATAGAGTATCCTTTTCCTTTTACAAGAAAATTATTTCAAGATGGGCTCAAACCATAGCTATGTGACTTGCAGTAGTTCATTATGGATTTGAATGAAGTCTTCTGGCCATTGGTTACTCTATCATTTGTCTTGATGTATTCATAGTCAGATATAAATATGTTGGAAGTGTATAAAAGTTTGACTCCAGTTACAATCAACATCCAGACTAATTTCTATTAGGTTAACAAACAGATAACTTGCTTATTCTTTCCAGGTTTATTGAACTTAGATCAGTAAAACCCCTTTTTTTCTCCCTCCCTCTTTGAAGAGAATATTCCTACTTTGAATTAATTAGATTCAAATGATTTGTTGTTCAAATTACCCAGTGAAGATGCCTATATATCTGACATGTGAAGCATAGCATTTTCCTTGGAGAAATGGTCACATCCTGAGTTTAGTATAAAATTCATTTCTATAGTGTGTGTTTATATTTGTTTGGGAGAGAAAACTTGGGAAACAGGCTATTTTTCTCCTATTACCACATTGGAGTCAACCCATTACCTGAATGTTAACTCACATTACCAGCACAAAGAAGCTTCAGGGAGAACACAATACCAGTACATTATCATCAGGTTTGCTTGTGAGAACTTGCCCATGTTGATTCTGATATTTGTCGAATGGGGCAGAGAAGATAGCAGGAATGAAGTACCTCTCCAGCTTCCATCTTTCCCAATTGCTCTAATGCACCTTGTATTTATTAGATAGGAAGCTAAAATAATGTAGCATTGGCTGTACAAGAATAAGAAAGAATTCTTGGCATTCTGCCTTCTGCTCCTTCCTCTGTTTTATGTCAACAGTAGCTGAGGATGGAGAATTTGTGTTGTCAAAAGATTGTCATTCATATATGTCAAAATCCTCAGGAGACATATACATATTTTCATGTTTTTATAGTTCAACAGTGAATACCTGTGCTACATGTATGCGCTACAGGAAGGGATCAAATCCTAGGGCAGTCTTTTCTAACATAGCATCCTTAGGATGGGGACTATAACATCCTGAATTCTAATTGACTTTGCTGATGGACAATTCTGGGTGGTATAATCCCAGCACCTCTGATGCTGCCCTAGATACAACTTTAAGCAAAAGGCGCAGTCTGTTCCATCAGCAATCCAACATGCTTGGTATATCTAGTCAGTGTCCATTTCTTCTCAGGTTTTTTTCAGGATTTGTTATACTTCGTTTTATTTTGGATACTTTGATAACTGACAATGTATGTGTGATATCTGCTTTATTGATTAGATTGCTCTGTTTCTGGAACAAGTGAATGGGAGATTATCTATTAAAAACAAACACAATATATGCTGCACAATGTTTCTGAGAGTCATGGGTGTAAGAAATAGTCCAAGTAAAAAAAGTTTATTTTCCACCATTTAGCTTATCGTTTCTGGTTTTGCCATTGATAAATTTGCATTGCTTATAGCTTTCCCCAGTTTGTTTCATAGCAGTTAGTGACATGGATAAGATGAAGACTTGGTTCTGCTCTTAATATTTTCCAGCTACATTGCCAAGCTGTGGATAATGATCTTTCCTTAAACACATGGGACTGCAATTCAGAGATAAACACTTCCAAGAAAGTTGTTTCTTAGAGGGCAAAATCATTAAACCTCAACCCCGGTTCTGATTTAGATGCCCACTTTGGGTGATGCTGCAGTGGCCGAGAGGCTTTTACTTTTAAGCATGTGGTAGGATTTAATAGGTCTGATACAGCTAATGCCTTGCTAGGTTGGAAGACAAGGGATACAGGAACAGGAGGGCAGCAGAGAAATTGCTAGAAAGGATAGTTCTTCCTTATTTGGGAACAATTAAGTCTGAAAAATCCACCTCCTGTTCCTGTTTTTTTTAATCTGTTTTTTAAAGTAGAAATTGAGGGTATTGTTATGTCCCGAGCCTTTGCAAACGGCTCGGGCGTTTGCAGGCAGTCCCGGGCAGGTGCAAAGCTGCCCGGGACCAGACAGGCTGTCGCCAGCGCCGTGCGCATGCGCGGGTGCTGGCGCGGGAAAAGTAACCCATTTACCCGGGTAGTTGCCTATATAAGAGGCTGCGAGGCGTTTGGGCGAGGCTGAAGCCATCTTCCTGTAAGCTGAACGCTGAATAAATGAAACTGAGAACTCCAGCTGCTTCTCGTGTCTGTTTTCCCGCCACGGACTCAACACTGGCGACGAAGGTGGGATGCCTTGCACTACCAGGAAAGGAAAAAGTGTAAGCTTACCCAAGGAGTCCTGAGCGGCGGAAGAGGAATGGCGTCGACTCGGCAGCTGCCCGCCAATCCGGTGCACATTCGGGGGTAGGCTGGCTAATAGACCCGTCTCCTGAAGATCCGAAGATGGCGAAAATCGGAAGGCTTTCGGAATTTGACGTCTCACATCCAGAGCGGTGGGAGTCCTACGTATCCAGAATGGAGAACTACTTCAAGGCAAACCAAGTGAGGGAAGATAGCTTGAAGGCGGCCACCCTGCTTTGCGTTTGTGGCCAAGACGCCTTCGAAATCGCAGAAAACCTTGCAGCACCTGTCCCAGTAGAGTCTGTAAGCTACGCAGACCTGAAGAAGCTGCTGAAGGAGCACTTCAACCCCAAGGTGTCCGTTATCTCATGGCGCCACACCTTCGAACAAAGGGATCAATGGTCCGGTGAGTCAGCCAAGGAATACATCGCCGCATTACGGAAGGCCGCCAAGCCCTGCGAGTTCAAGGACCTCGAGGAACGACTGAGAGACCGATTCGTGTGCGGGTTAAGGCATCGCGAGCTACAACAGAGACTTTTCGCAAAGGAAGAATTATCCTTCCAAGACGCCTTAAGGGAAGTCACCGCAGAAGAAGCAGCAGGCGGCGCCGTCAAAAACATGCGGCCGATCAGAAACAGTGCAGAGGGTGCGTCCGTGCACCAGGAAGACGTCCGACGAAACTCCGAGGAGGATCCGGACGAGGAAGTCGACCGTCTACACCCCGCGAAGGAAGAGAACCAGAAGGGAAGCTCTTCGGCTCCGCTCAAGTGCATCGGCTGTGGAGGTCGCCACAGGAGAACCGACTGCAAGTTCCGCTCCGCTACCTGCCGGGCATGCGGTAAACAAGGGCACATTGCAGCTGTGTGCCTGGGCCGACGAAAGGCACAACCCCAAGAAGAACGCCTGAAGGGTACCAGATTCCCCAGCCAGAATAGGGTAGGTTTTTGCGCTTCGCGAAGAAGCATCTGTAGAACAGGCACACACAAGCCCATGAAGAAAAAGCTGTCACTCAACGTGAAGCTACAAGGGGTTCCATTATCTATGGAACTAGACACAGGGTCTGCCCTGTCCATCATTTCATTGCATACATTTAGGAAGATTTGTTCCAGAAGTGGGTCTAAGGCCAAGTTAAGGCCTTCTGATATTGTATTAACAGATTTTCAGAACTCAAGAGTGTGTGTTAAGGGGGAGGCCACCCTTAACGTGCAATACAAGAGTTTTGAAGGTCCACTAGACTTATTAGTAGTAGGGGGTGAACGAACGAGTCTCATAGGACTCGATTGGTTTGAGGCCCTGGGGATACACGTCACAGGACTCAACAGCTTACAAACACTCGACCTACAGGAAGTCTGCAAAGAATTTGCAGATGTTTTCAGCCCCCAGCTGGGCACATTCAAAGGACCACCTGTGTCCTTAAAGCTAGACCCCACTGTCACTCCCATTAGGATTAAAGCAAGAAGGGTCCCTTTTGCTTTAAAAAGTAAGATTGACACTGAACTAGACAAACTAATCCAACAGGGAATCCTAGAACCTGTTGATTCCAGCCCGTGGGAGACCCCCATTGTCACGCCTCTAAAGGCAAATGGGGACATTCGCATTTGTGCTGATTACAAATGCACACTCAATAAGGCATTGCAGCAACATGCCTATCCTGTTCCTGTGGTCAGTCACATCCTGGCCTCTCTCAAGGGGGGGCGTGTTTTTGCAAAGCTTGACCTAGCTCAAGCATATCAACAGCTGCCTGTTGATGATGATGCTGCCATAGCTCATGCTGAGCTCAGACCATTGTGACCCACAGGGGAGCCTTTAAAGTAAAAAGGCTACAGTTTGGAGTAAATGTCGCTCCTGGGATTTTCCAAAGCGTAATGGAAAACACACTACGAGGTATACCAGGGGTCTGCCCCTACTTTGACGATGTCTTGATTGCAGGAGACTCCACACACATTCTAGCTGAAAGGCTTAGGGCTGTCCTGTTAAGATTCAGGAAATCAGGCCTCAAGCTCAGAAAAGACAAATGCCAGATTGGGGTGCCTTCTACTGAATTTCTGGGATTCAAAATTGATGCTGCTGGGATTCATCCTGCTGAATCCAAACTAACTGCTATTTTAGAAGCACCCAGGCCAAAGTCTAAGGCCGAACTTCAGGCCTTCCTAGGCCTCCTGAATTTCTACAATTCTTTTCTTCCACATAAAGCTAGTGTAGCTGAGCCTCTTCACAGGCTACTAGACAAACAAGCTGTGTGGCTGTGGTCACAAGCAAAGGGAAGGGCAAGAGCTACTGCCCATCTCCACTGAGGGAGCCACAAACGGCTCGTCCCAAGGTTCTGCAATTGCTCCGAAAAGAAAGTCATGGAGCTTACCCACACAACAGGCACTCACGCCTACTCCAGCCAGGGAGTCACCCCGGGGGCATACTCACTTTCCACACACATCACACAGCACTCCAGCAACGGAGGATACCCGGGGGCATCCCAACAAATCATTCCCCGCAAGAGAGCTGGCACACAATTCCCAAGGTTGGCCTGACCTTACCCCAAATCCTACAGGGGGTCAAACATACACAGAGTTAGTCGAGGAACCAAGTCCCGACTACAACACCCCTAGCACAAATCAGGGAACACCTGAGTTTTGGGAAAGTACAGAAACCCACACGAGCCCAAACACAGAATGGGGTTCAGGGAATGGACAGCCTCCTGACAGGTCTTGGACTGACCTAGGAGGTTCTACAGAGACGCCCAGCAGCGGCTATCACTTCAAGGGGCCTGAGGGTCTACAGCTAGGTAGGTCAACCAGGTCACAAAGTAACAGAAGCCCTGGCCTGACGAGCCCGGTGGGCAAGCAAGCAGGCCAGGCATCGGGGCACAGTCCTTGGAAGACACCAGGGCACAATAGAGAGAACAGGCTCACGCCTCCCTCCAGTCAGGGGACTTATGCCAGTAATCCAGAGCTAAGAAGGTCACAGAGAGCAAAGAAATCTCCCAAGTACCTAGAAGACTACATAACATTGCTGGCAAAGCAAAAGCCAGTAAACAGTGGGAACATTGGGGAGCAAAATGTCGTATAAAATAAATGTTGTATGTTGGTAGTAGTTTTAGCCCGGGGGAAAGGGGTGTTATGTCCCGAGCCTTTGCAAACGGCTCGGGCGTTTGCAGGCAGTCCCGGGCAGGTGCAAAGCTGCCCGGGACCAGACAGGCTATCGCCAGCGCCGTGCGCATGCGCGGGTGCTGGCGCAGGAAAAGTAACCCATTTACCCGGGAGTTGCCTATATAAGAGGCTGCGAGGCGTTTGGGCGAGGCTGAAGCCATCTTCCTGTAAGCTGAACGCTGAATAAATGAAACTGAGAACTCCAGCTGCTTCTCGTGTCTGTTTTCCCGCCACGGACTCAACAGGTATGTTTACATAAAAAGAGATTCACTGATTCACATACCCCATCAAACAATTTCTACAAGATGCTAAGACTTAAATGAAGATTTATAAACTACAATGACTGGCTTTTCACAATATACTATAAAAAGAAATTACATTATAGCACAGTGGATTGTGAACTAGGGTAGTGACTGCACAAAGGAGCTTAAAGCCAAACAGGGAAAAGCAAGATTCAAGAAATAAATTGCATAAAAGTACCAATTCATTATGTAGAAATTGATTGAAGTAAGGAAAATATCTTTCTAAGTTCACACAGTTGCCTTGAATTCATCCAGCAAGTTCCTTTTTCCATTCTCTCAAGAATTTTGGATGATAGATTTTCTCATTATGATTTGAGGAACAGTTGTGATTATAGGAATGAAATTAGAGAAGAAACTGTTGGAAGGTCAGCTTGGAGATAACAAGAAACATGTTATGGACCTCTTTTCTCTGGAGGAGAATGTTGTCTTCACTTACTGGACTGGACCTTGAAAACAATTGTCTATTTTTTTGTCATTTTCAGGCTTTGGATATTTGACCATGAAAAATTTAATGTTGTCAACTGTATAAGTTTATTCTGACTGTAAGGGTTAAATTTAGCCTTTATCATGCTTAGGTACAACCTGTTGACATCTCAATTTACCTACCTAGGGCTACCATACATGTGCTACAAGCCTTAGGTAGCCACTAGATAGCAGGGAAGAGATACAGAAAATTCTGTCTTTGTTGTTTTCTAGTGTTCGCTAGATATTTATGATACTTGCATGCTACAGTGAAAGCATCTTAATTAAAATGTGCACACAAAGATCACTATACAATGAAAACTAATAGGAAAGGGTAGAATTAAAATGCTACAATTTAGAATATAAATAATAGCAATAATCATAATACTCTATCAACAACCATAGATGGCACTATCTTATTCTGTGAATACACCTCAGAAAAAATCCATTTTCAGCGACTGCTGAAGGGCCATCAATGATGAGAGTAGTCTAAGAGAATGGGCAGTGATCTCCAGGGAACCATCCCAGAAAAACAGCATCTCTGGGCCTCAGTCCTGCTTACTTCATGGCAATTGGGAACAATTAGTAGGATCTTCTAAGAAGACTGAATCAGATGGGTTGATCCTTCTTGAAGCAGGCAGCCCTAAAGATAACGCCTCAAGCACTGTATATAATGCATCAAACGTTAAATCCAGCCTTTTGAATTGTAGCCAGAAGTTGCCAAGCAGGGCTCCC